ATCTGATTGGTTTATTTGGCCCGTCTATCACCAACATAGGCCAATCAGCTAACCAGTATTTTCGCCCCTTCCCAAAATTACTTCAAAGGAAGGTTTCCAGATGGATATGCGGAGCAAATCCAGCTGGCGGAGTCAGGTTAGCTAACTGCACCCCTGCGTGTGGGAGGAGGGAGCAGCTGAGAGACGCTAGCTGACATCAGAGTCCCTCAGTTGGATCCCGCGGAGCTAACGGAGCTGACGTCTCGGTTCTGCTGCGCTGTAGTCGACAACAATCCCGGACGAATTTGAAATTCCGCCCAGACTTGTTTTTAGGTATGAAAAGTAGGACATATCTGGGGAAAAGAGGATGTCTGGTCACCCTAGCTTAATCATATTTTGCCGGACTGCTCTGAGCATGCCCCATTGTGACGCCAGAGAAGCAGTTTAACGAAGAAAATGGAAAAAGCATCATAATTGTCTCACAAAAGTCATAAAACATTTTTTTAAAGATGTCTATCAGCATTCTTTAGTGCGTTAGGGATATAAATAAGTCATTTTTAGTACCATAATCACGCATGCGCAGGACGGATTGGGCTTCCGATAGGGACGGTAGAAACTCTTCGAAGCAGAGGCGGCCATATTGGAGAGAAACTTCCAGCTTCTCTAAACTGGATTTTAATTTCAACATTTCTACAGAAGTAGCCATTTAAAATGTCCCCACTTTCCTTGTCTGGTCCCCTTCAATTCCTTTTTAAATATCAATCTTTGTGCTAAAATATTCTGTCATTATTTGGGGACATTATGATCTAAAGAGAAGCGCCATCTCCTGGTCAGACCCTGTACTTCAGTGAACAAGGGGATCACTCTAGGGGCTGGAAGTTAGAGGGGATTCGGCTGGAGTTTGACTGGGGGGGGGGCATTTGAATGGATGCTACCGTAAATACAGACCTTAGATTTTCCTTCAATGTTTATTCTTTTTGAAATATTCCGCGTTTCACTGCAAAAAGTGATCTAAAAATAAGTCCAAATCTCTTCCTCCTTAATTTATGAAAGTAAATAAGATCAAATCTTATTACTTTCCTGCTAAAATCAAAACATTTCATTTAGTTTGTTTTTTTTAAGAATTTTACTCCATAATCCAAAATATTTCTGCTTTATTTCTTTAACCTTAGGAGGAACCAGAACCAGTTTAAAACTGATTAATTTTCTCTCATTTTGACTGTTTGTCAGTGAATAGCTTTAATTTATTAATGTTTAAGGTGAAATAAAAGGTTCTGGATAAAATCATGAGGCTTTAATGCGAGTTTATCTGCAGCATGACGACCTTATGGAGCAGCGAGAGGATAAAAAAAAAAAAAAAGGGCCGAAATCAAAGGTTTACCGCTTAGTTTAACTCTTTAAATATTTATCTGGTTCAGTTTGGGAGATTTTAAAAAAGGTTTCTGGGAGAAAAAAAAAAAAAAAAGTGGAACAGAATAGAAATAAATAAAAGCAATAACTTAATATCCTCTTTACATTTATACAGGTAAACAGACCAGTGCCGACGTACCGTGGATGAAGCAACGCCGCCCCCTGCTGCTGTTTCAGGGTAACAGCATCACTCAGGGGCAACATCCAACTTCTGCTTTTAATAAACTTTCTTTTCATCTCAGATCTTTTAAAAAAAAAAAAATTAAAAAAATCACATTCTTATTTCTGGAAACTCGGGATTAAAACGCCGAAGCTCCTCTGGAGGCACAGACGGTCTCTGGCAGAGAACGAACCTTTAAACGTTTTAACTCTGCTCTAAAAATGAAGAGCAGAGAGGCTGAAAAAGCGGGACCAGAGCAGCTTAAATCAAACGTTATCAGATCCCTGCCTTCCTGTTTCCCTGCGGCGGGACCGTGACGTGACACGGTAGAGACTAGGCTGGGTGGAGCAGTGATGCTCTGGGCCCGTTTGTCTCCTAACGGCCATGAAGCCTCGTTAGAGACGTCCCGATTGCTTTAATTAGTAAAAAAAAAAAGGAAACGGCGTTAATTAAGCAGAATAATTATTTATTCTGATGCTTTCCCCACATTTCTACATCTGAATCTTTCTGATCCAGGATGTTGCATCGCCCTCGTGTCCGGCTTTAAAAAAAAAAGCCATCTAGAACACTTCTGCCTCTTATACGGCAGAATTAAAAAAAAAAAAAAAATCCATCCTGACTCAGAAAAACGTGGAAAAATACGGATTGATCGACTGGAAATACCCCAAACATGTCAGGCTTCCAAAAAAACGCCTCATCAGGTTAAGGCGTTGTTCCCCTCTTCAACCACGGGGTGGGTGGGGGGGTTTCTTTGTGTCTCCTAAACGCACACGGTTCCATCGCTTCAGTCTTTAGGTCAGCAGGTAGCAGTAGATGGCGTAGAGAAGCGCCATGACGGAGCAGTAAAACAACAGGAAGTCTGCCGACAGCAGCGAGGAGGAAGACGCAGGCGAGGCGCGGTCCTCCTCGGGCTCCACGGCCAGCAAGGCCGCCACGCAGCGCAGCACAGCGGGCAGCTTACACAGAAGCACATCGGAGCAGACACACATTTCAGGCTGGACACACAGACAGAGGAGAAGACTGTTAGAGGCGGGACGCAGCACGCGGTTAGCACACGGACCATCGTCCTTCTGTAGCGCCAAACCCAGAACTTTACCTCAGGGACGCCCAGCTTCCGACACGCGCTGAGGAAGTTTTCCACGTTCAGTCTGGACTTCGCCGAGCTCAGCTTTGGCTGAAAGGGAGAAACAGAACAAAGAAAACCAGCAGCTTTAAGCGACCGGACGCTGGGAGGGCGGGGTTCAGTCAGAGCCGACGGAAGGCGTCCGACTCACCACTGCGGGGGAGGGGATGTGGATGATGGAGACGGAGCGCGGCCGGATCTGGTTCACCAGCTGGCAGAGGACGGTTCCGTTGGACAGAGCCTCGCCCAGGTCCTCCGGCAGAGAGATCTTCAGCCGAGATTCCAGAGTCTGTGGAGCGGGACACGGGTTAGAGATGCCTGAGCCAAACCCCCACCCCCACCTGTTGCTGGAGCGGTTCTGCAGCTTTATTGAGCAGCAGCGGTACCAGGACGATCCGGAGGAGAGTAGAACTCCGCATCCGTCCCGTCTGATAGAGTTTACATGTAGATCAGTTCAACTGATGTCAGAATTATCGGCCCGACCGGTCCGTCACTTTGTGGACCAATCAGATAGTAAACAAACTCCTCCCCCCCAAAAAAAAACACTAAACCGCCTGTCAGCTGTTCGCCACTGCTGGAAGTTAACAGATTCATAAATCTAAAAGGAAAAGCAGAATAATAACGTCTGTTGGGAAAAACTGGCAACGCGTACATCTGCCGTCAGGTTCAGCTACACTGGAAAAAATGGAAATCTAGATAAGTCCTTTTTTCTTAAAATAAGTGCATTTGTTCTTGAATTGAGGAGGTAAAA